ATAAGAAAGATACAGAACCACAGAATGGATAAGAACTCACCAACCTACTATCTGTTGCCTTTGGGAGACTCCCCTAACACATAAGGAGTCACATAAACTTAAAGTGGTGGAAAAAGGCATTTCATGCAAGTGGACACCAAAAGCGAGCAGGGGTAGTTATTTTTATATCGGACAAAACACACTTTAAAGCAACAGCAGTTAAAACAGATAAAGAGGGACATTACATAATGGTAAAAGGCCTTGTCCAAAACAACAAATCACAATCTTAAACATATATGCACTTAACACTGGAGCTCCCAAATTTATAAATCAATTACTAATAGACCTAAGAAATGAGATAGACAGCAACACAATAATAGTGGGGGACTCCATTGACAGCACTAGCCAGGTCATCAAGACAGAAAGTCAGCAAAGAAACAATGGATTTAAAGTATACCCTGGAACAAATGTGCTTAATAGATATATACAGAACATTTCATTCAACAAAGGCAGAATACACATTTTATTCAACAGCACATGAAACTTTCTCCAAGATAGACCATATAATAGGCCATAAAATATGCCTTAATAAATTTAAGAAAATTGAAATTATATCAAGTACTTTCTCAGACCACAGTGGAATAAAACTGGAAATCAACTCCAAAAGGAACCTTCAAAACCATGGCAATACATGGAAATTAAATAACCTGTTCCTGAATGAGCATTGGGTCAAAAACGAAATCAAGATGGAAATTAAAAATTCTTCAAACTGAATGACAATAATGACACAATCTATCAAAACCTCTGGGATACAGCTAAGGCAGTGCTAAGAGGAAAGTTCACAGCCTTAAACATCTACATTAAACAGTCTGAAAGAGCACAAACAGACAATCTAAAGTCACACCTCAAAGAACTAGAGAAACAAGAACAAACCAGACCCAAACCCAGCAGCAGAAAGGAAATAACCAAGATCAGAGCAGAACTAAACGAAATTGAAACAAACAAACAAAAAAATACAAAAGACAAATGAAACAACAAGCTGGTTCTTTGAAAACATAAATAAAATTGATAGACATTTAGCAAGAGTAGCTAAGAAAAGAAGAGAGAAAATCCAAATAACCTCACTGAGAAATGAAACAGGAGATATTACAACTGACACCACTGAAATATAAAAGATCATTCAAGGTTACTTACTATGAAGGTCTTTACACACATAAACTAGAAAAGTTAGAAAGATGGATAAATTTCTGGAAAAATACAACCCTCCTAGCTTAAATCAGGAATAATTAGATACCTTGAACAGACTAATAACAAAAAGCAAGATTGAAATGGTAAGTAAAAAATTACCAGCAAAAAAAAGTCCAGGACTAGATGGATTCACAGCAGAATATTACTAGACATTCAAAGAATTGGTATCACTCTTTTTGACACTATTCCACAAGACAGAGAAGGAAGGAACCCTCCCTAATTCGTTCTATGAAGCCAGCATCACCCTAGTAAGAAAACCAGGAAAGGACACAACCAAGAAAGAAAACTACAGACCAATATCCCTGATGAACATAGATGCTAAAATTCTTAGCAAAATACTAGCTAACCAAATCAAACAACATATCGAAAAGATAATCCACCATGACCAAATGAGTTCCATACCAGGGATGCAGGGATGGTTTAACATATGCAAGTCAATAAATGTGATACACCACATAAACATAATTAAAAACAAAAATCACATGATCAACTCAATAGATACAGAAAAAACATTTGACAAAATCCAACATCCCTTTATGATTAAACATTCAGCAAAATTGGCATACAAGGGACATACCTTAATGTAATAAAAGCCATCTATGACAAACCCATAGCCAACATTATACTGAATAGGGAAAAGTTAAAAACATTCTCTCTGAGAACAGGAACAAGAGAAGCATGCCCACTCTCACCACTTCTCTTCAACATAGTACTGAACATCCTAGCCAGAGCAACCAGACAAGAGAGAAATAAAGGGCATCCAAATCAGTAAAGAGGAAGTCAAACTGTCCCTGTTTGCTGATGATATCATTGTTTACCTTGAAAACTTTAAAGACTCCTACAGAAAGTTCCTAGAACTGATAAAAGAATTCAGCAGTTTCCAGATACAAGATTAATGTACACAAATTAGTAGCTCTTCTATACACCAATGGTGACCAAGCAGAGAATCAAATCAAGAACTCAACCCCTTTTACAATAGCTGAAAAAAAATAAAATACTTAGGAATATACCTAACAAAGGAGTCAAAAGACCTCTAGAAGGAAAACTACAAAACACTGCTGAAAGAAATCATAGATGACACAAGCAAATGGGAACACATCCCATGCTCATGGATGGGTAAAATCAATATGGTGAAAATGACCATACTGCCAAAAGCAATCTATATGTTCAACATGATCCCCATCAAAATACACAGAGTTAGAAAAAACAATTCTAAAATTAATATGGTACCAAAAAAGAGCCCGCATAGCCAAAGCAAGACTAAGCAAAAAATGCAAAACTGGAAGCATCACACTGATTTCAAACTATACTGCAAGGCCATAGTCGCCCAAACAGCATGGTACTGGTATAAAAAATAGGCACATAGACCAGTGGAATAGAATAGAGAACCCAGAAATAAACCCAAATACTTATAGCCAACTAATCTTCAACAAAGCCAACAGAAGCATAAAGTGGCAAAAGGACACCCTTTTCAACAAATGGTGCTGTTGGCTAGCCACATGTAGGAGAATGAAACTGAATCCTCATCTCTCACCTTATACAAAAATCAACTCAAGATAGATTAAGGGCTTAAACCTAAACTATAAAAACTCTAGAACCTGAAACTATACAATTATAGAAGATAATATTGGAAAAACCCTTCTAAACATTGGCTTAGGCAAGGGCTTCATGACCAAAAACCCAAAAGCAATTGCAATAAAAACACAGAGAAATAGGTCATGAATAGACAATTCTCAAAAGAAGATATACAAATGGCCAACAAACATATGAAAAAATGCTCAACATCACTAACGATCAGGGAAATGAAAATAAAAACTGCAATGTGATACCACCTTACTCTTGCAAGAATGGCAATAATCAAAGAATCAGAAAAACAGTAGATGTTGGCATGGATGCAGAGATCAGGGAACACTTCTACACTGCTGATGGGAATGTAAACTAGTAAAGCCACTATGGAAAACAGTGTGGAGATTCCTTATAGAACTAAAAGTAGAACTACCATTTGATCCAGCAATCCCACTACTGGGTATCTTCTCAGAGGAAAATAAGTCATTATTCAAAAAAAGATACTTGCACAGGTATGTTTATAGCAGCACAATTCACAATTGCAAAATCATGGAACCAACTCAAATGCCCATCAATCCATGAGTGGATAAAGAAACTGTGGTGTATGTATACACACACACACACATATATATACACACACACATAAATATATACACATATATACACACACATATATACACACACACACATATATACACACACAAATACATATATACGATGGAATACTATTCAGCCTTAAAAAAGAATGAATTAACAGCATTTGCAATGACCTGGATGAGATTGGACACTATCATTCTAAGTGAAGTAACTCAGGAATGGAAAACCAAACATCATATGTTCTCACTGATATGTGGGAGCTAAGCTATGAGGAAGCAAAGGCATAAGAATGGTACAATGGGACTCTGGGGACTTGTAGGGAAGAGTGGGTGGGGAGTGAGGGATAAAAGACAACAAATACGGTGCACTGTATACTGCTTGGGTGATGGGTGTACCAGGATCTCACAAATCACCACTAAAGAATTTACTCATGTAATCGAATACCACTTGTACCCAAATAATTTATGGAAAAAAATAGCACATGGCTAACTCCCTCACCTCTTTAAAGTCATTGATGAAATTATCAGTTCCTCAGTAAGTCCTGCCTTCACCAACTATTCAAATTGCTAATCCCCCAAGAACTTCTAATCTATATCTCACTTTATTTTTGTTCATAGTATGTATCATTTTGTAAAATCCTGATAGTTTATTTATTTATTATGTCCATTGTTTATGATATTTCTCCCATGCTGGAATTTAAATTCAGTGAGGTCAAGGGTTTTTGTATGTTTGTTTGTTTGTTTAGGTTTTGGTACCTTCTGCTTATTACTGTGTCTTGAGTACCTAGAACCTTGCTGACACATAGCAGGTAGTCAACAAATATTTGCGAACTAAATGAATGAGTGGATAAAATAATCAAAGAAAAATATTTCCCACTCATTTGATGAAAAATATTCACCAACCTAGATATTTTATTATTATCATTGATGAACAAATTGAATGGTTTACAAGATAGAAAAATCTAGCTTTAACTTAGGTGTTTTATTGTTTTCTCTTTAGTCAAATCCAAGAGATAGGAAATTTTTCACAAATTAAGTCTTTGTGTAGTTAAAAATTATTTTGGTATTCATTGTTTGTTTTAAGTTGTGCTTTTTAATCTCATGTCAACACCTGACATCTAGATAAATGCTGTAGGGCTCTGAAACCAACATTCTTCCTTCTTGAGGTGTGGTGAACATATTTCCTCCAACATTGCGTTAGCTTGTATGAATCACAATGAAAGCCAAGATTTCAAAAGGCAGCAGTAGACATGGGTTTCATATAAGTGGAGATCAAAGTTTTCTTACTATGTACGCTTTCTTAAATTTTTTCCAAACATTGTTTCAAAACAGCAAAGAGAAAATAACCTTACTATCTGTGATGGCAGGTTACCCTTGGGGGTAAGGGTGGTAGAGGCAGGCTCCAGGCTTAGTTTTTGTGTTCTCTGAGGAGGGTTAGAGGACTCTGAGCAACAGCTGTGGGGTGAGGGAGGTTAGAGAGCTGGCAAACTGAGAAAACCAAACCAAACCAAACCACTCTGTGCCAGACCTGCACAGCTGTGTCTACTACTGACAATCCTTCCGCACATGCAAGCCAGTTGCTTCCATTCAGCACCCTGGAAGGGAACTTACCACACAGCAAAAGACAGAAAGCTCAGAGTCTTGTTTAGAAGCTCTCTGCTCCTTGCTTTCTGTTTCCTGACTGATACTTCCTACCTCTTTCACTGATTGAGCAATGGCAGCTTTGGCTCTCCTTAGGTAAAGCAGTAAACCTAAACTCTAAGAAAAAGACAGATTTTAACATATTGACTCAATTCTTTTGATTTTACTTTTTCATTTTTAATCTGATAATTTGTCAATAACTAAGAGGAATGTTCAAGAGATATCCAAGTCACCTCTTCCTCTGGTTTTCTGGAGATGTAATTCTCTATATTTCTAATCTTTTCTTCTAATTCTAGTTTATCAATTATGCAGGTAGAATTTTTTTCCAACATGTTCTTTTTAATATTATCAGAAAGAACATTTGTTCCACTGTAAATGCCTAAATTCTGTAATTATGCCTTTTAATCTGGTAGATTCATTTACAAATATTAATCAAAAGTATACTCCTAAACACAAAACACAATCCTAATAGTAATTTAATTTTAATTTTACTTAACTTTTTTTTGTATTTTACAAAATCTCCACACTGAAAGAATTCCTAAATATTAAAAAAGCAATACACATTGAAAAGAAGTGGTGAGAGTGGGCATGCTTGCTTGCTCTAGATTTTAGAGGAAAAACTTTCAGTTTTCCACCACTGAATATGTTACTAACTGTGGATTTGTCATGCATGGTCTCTATTATGTTGAGGCACATTCTTTCTATATCTCATTTGTTAAGAATTTTTATCATAAAATAACCTAATAATATAAAATTATTTATGCTATTTGTTGTTATTTTAAATTTTTTACTATTCTAGACTACTCTCTCAACTTGTGAACCACCATATATATCCTTGCTTGTCTACTTTTAGCTCCTTATAATATCTGCCTCTTTCTTTCATTTTTTTTTTTTTTTTTGAAATACCACTATTACATTTCATCAGTCATACAGGTATTCTACAGGCTATGTCTGTTTATTGCCAAAATTTAGAAAACTTATAAATTCAGAAATTTACCTACTTTTTCCAGAAATTTGCAAAATCAGAAAATATGTAACTATAATATAGAAAATGAATGCCATCTATACTACTCATCCTAAGATGACCATTATTTACCTTTTGCTAAATACACTAGAATTTTTTCCAAATATTTATTGTATAATTGTGTATGTAACCACTTCTCTATACACATACACATTTGAAAAACTGAACTCATACAGTACATGCTGTTTTGCAATATACTCTTTCATTTAAATATATAGTGTGCAATCCATTAAATGGAAGCATCATAATTTATTATTGACTAACATTTAGATTATCTTCCATTGCAATGGAAATCTTTTTAAATACATGTTTACACTTGCAAAATAATAAGCCCAAGTATTTCATATTGAAACTTGAGTAAAAAGAAATTTGAATAAAAATAAAGTATAAAGCACATCCAGTGAGCTTATCCACCTTTACATACACCTTTTTTCTCATAAAAGTGAACTGTTTCAAGATTTCTTTTTCAAGAGCATAACTTATTGCATTCATATATGTGAACAGTGGTCCTGATGGAAAGACTTCAAGATTATTGTACTAATAATTAATATTTCTAATTCAATATTAAGTACCCTCCTGCATTTTCCTGATGCCTAGTTTGTGGTAATCAGGGACCAAATACTAATTTAGGTATGGTTAAATCCTATGGCTAAGTGCCTTGCCATTCTTTGCTGAGTTCACTATTGGTCAAGTTAAGTTTGTCCCAAGAACATATGTTATTTTGTGCATTTCCCAGAAAGCTTAGAGTATGTTTTCTGCTCCCTCTGGGGACTGAAGCTAGTCTCTATCATTTTGAAAGTAAAATGCAATTATAAATGCAATATTAAGAGGAAACATACCCACAAAAACTCATAGATTATATTACAACACTGTCTATAGCATGTTATCTTAAAAAAAATATGAAATAGGAGCCACCTAAATTCACTCTAAGATTTGAAGCAAATTAGTCTCCCAGAGGCACCAGTCTCACTCTATCTGAAACTCTGTTTCCTCATTTACTAAGTTATATCTGTCCTATCAACTTTGAAGGTGGTTGTGTGGATCATAAGAAATAACATATGTTCACACTTTTTGGACAATGTCAGGAACAACTTTATTTCAAGGTGTTGGGTTCCTAGCATGAAGGAGAATTTCCACCTACATGGTTTCAACTGAAGAGAATCTAATACAAATCATTCTGTAGAGAGGCGTGGGCAGCGTTAAAGAAGCAAAAGCAGGCAATGGAGGCTACATGAGACTAATAGCATGAAATCATCCCACTGTATCAGTCACTAGCAACTAGGACAGTGATTCTCAGAGTCTGGCCCCTGGACCAGCAGCATCAGTATCATCTGTCAGGAATGCAGATTCTCAGTTCTTACATTGGACCCACTGAATCAGAAACTCTGCATGTGGGACTAGTGAGCATTCTAGTTCATTCTGGTAGATGCTAAAAATTAAAAACCACTGAGATAAGTTATGCAATGGTAATGAAAACTCCAAATAAATGAATTAAAAACACTTATTTCCAGCTCATATTTCATTTTGAACATGTTATTGCGGGTCAGCTGTGGTTCTGCTCCTGCTATCTTCCCTCTAGGACCCAGGCTGATGATGCAGCTTCTATAAGAACATTGCTAGTTACGACAGCAGAAAATAAGAACATAGTAAAGGTTGGCTTTAAAATTTCTCTTGAGAAGTAACACAGATTGTTTTGCTCTTCATTGGCCAATTGGTAACATAGCCATGTCTAAGTTTAATGTGTCAGGATATGGGTTTCATCTACAGTGAGGTTCCCTGAGAATGGGTCAGAAATAATACTATTGACTCCATCACTCTTAGGCCAGAAGAAGCCATGGAAGGAAATAAAGTTCCTGGAGGCCAGGACAACCCAGAGCCTGAGGACAGTACAGCTGGTACTCAGTAGGAGAGAAAACATAGAGGATGAAAGTGCTGCTGAAGGAGAGGCACGGAAACAGAGACCTCCACACCCATCCTGTGTCTGCATGGGTCAGTCCACTGGCACAAACAGGGCAGAAAAGGCTGGAACCTGGATCTGGAGTGGTGGCAAACAGAATTACCAGCTAATAAATTATTATCATCAATTACTTTTGAATTATCAATGACTTTATCATCAATGACTTTTTCCATGAAAATGATCAGGAGACCATGTAGCATTTCTAAAGCAAAGATAGTTTCTACAACTGATGACAAAGAATGGTGAAGTGGAAATGCGTTCAACTGGGCTTCAGAGACCTTAGCATTAATCCGTGGTTTAGTTCAGGCAGGCTACATGATGGTGGGAAAAATTCAGTTTATGCACCAATACAAAGAGGTTTGGTTGACATAATCTCCAGGATCCTTTTTAGTAATATAATAGGATGTTTTTATGTCACATCCGTCTTGTTTGATAGACATTAATAGAAGTGGAAGTGACATAGAGCTAAGTTCCACTAGTCACCTATTTTTCACCAACAGTTTATATGATATACTATGACCAGCATTAATTTATTCTTTTTTTTTTTTTTTTTTGAGACGGAGTCTCGCTCTGTCGCTCAGGCTGGAGTGCAGTGGCGCCATCTCCACTCACTGCAAGCTCCGCCTCCCGGGTTCATGCCGTTCTCTTGCCTCAGCCTCAGGAGTAGCTGGGACTACAGGCACCCGCCACCGCGCCCGGCTAATTTTTGTATTTTTAGTAGAGACGGGGTTTCACCGTGTTAGCCAGGATGGTCTCGATCTCCTGATCTCGTGATCTGCCCGTCTCGGCCTCCCAAAGTGCTGGGATTACAGGCTTGAGCTACAGCTCCCGGCCTATGGTTCAATCCCCCAAAAAGGTAGTTGGCACATTGTTGGCTTCAAGCAAATATTTGTTGTTTTATAGATTGGCAATAGATTTCTTTTGGAAAAATCAAGATTGATTGAGCCACAGTAACCCTAGGAGGTTTGCTTTCCTATCTGTATATTAAGTGAAAACAAAAAAAAGGGTCAGAGAAGTTAGGTATCTGGAAAAAATTTGCACAGATAGCACAGAGCAACACCCGGAATTGTGTAGGGTCTTAGTCAAGTTATTGAATCTTTTTGAGCTTTAGTTTACTCATTTTCAATACCAGAATTTTAATTCAAATATTGGTGTGATTTTGAAACAATTAGGTGAGATGTATGCATGGTACTCAGTGAAGTGTCTGGCATGTATCAGATTTCTTATAAATGTTAGTTCTTGCTTCCTTCCGTTTATCCAAAGCACATACTCTGATGCTTTACATATAATAGATGCTTAATATATAATTTCTGCTTGATTGATACTAGAATATATTAATTGGCTACAGCCATGTACTAGCTGTTGTAATAGGATGTGCTGACTCAATTTTGGTGACATTCCTGGTCATTTTAATTTTTGTTGGCCATGATGGTTAAGAACTTGATTGTTTGGAGCCCAGATTTGAATCTTGACTTTGGCAGTTATTCACTTTGTGATCTTGGCCAAGGTCACTGTGCCTCAAATTTCCCGTCTGTAAAATGAGTATAATGGATGACAGTGGTAACTTCCTTATAGATTTTTTAAAAAATGAAGTTTGAAGAAATTAATACCTGTAAACACATAAAATAATGCTTGGCACAGAGCAAACACTTGAAAATTGTTAGTTTTTATTATTATTCTTATACCAGATGCTCACATTGTTTGATAAGTACCCCTCTCCCTTCAAACACACACACACACACACACACACACAGACACACCCCAACTCTAATGATATCCCTCTCAAGAGTCATCCCCAAAAGTATAGTATTAATATGTGTAGGTTTCCAAATGGCATTTCTAAATGGGCACCAAAAATTCTCTTAAGCAAAAGAGAAGGAATCAAATGCCAAAAACCAATTAAATATTATGGAGGGTAAAACACTATCTGACACAATCAGGCGACAGAGAATGAAGGCCAACACAGCGTTCCCAGCTGTACACTCTGCTGCCCTTTTCCCCCTCTTAACAGGGTGAGTTAAGGTGGAGTGTCATCCTTAACTTTGAATTTTGCTGCTTTTGTCAGTTTGTGTCACAACCTTAACATTATTTAAATGTACTTTTTTGTATTTAATATTCATATTCAGGTGTTCAAGCCATAATTTCTGTTAGTAAAAGTGACATTTCTTAAAGTTCATTATTTTTTCCACATAGAAATCTCAGACATTAAAAAAAAACAGACTTTAAATAATAGAACAGAAGTGTCTTCAGGCTAACAGCCACCCCTATGATTTGTCATTTTGGTACTTGAGTACCTGGAAGAAATAAGTTTGATAACACCCGAGTCATTTAGCTTTGTGATTAGAAACCTG